ATCTGAGATATCTGCCAAATGGATCTTGATAGAGCTAAATGCCAGGCCTTGATGTGTTAGGTACAGAAGATGGATGGGAGCTTGCTCTGGAGGAACACTTTCTTGTGGGACCGAATGGGAAACACACTTCCATTTAGACAGGTAAGTCCCTCTGGTGGAAGGTTTTCTGCTATTGAGAGGTACCCTCTGTATGTCTTTAGAACAATCCCTTTCCTGTGGTGGTAACCATGTTGTCAAGTGGAAGGCTTGCAGGCACCTTAGCCCTGGGAAATCATTCCTGGATCCAACAGGAGAGACAGTGGAGGCCTGACTGACAAAATTAGGAGGGTCCAGTTCCAGTGTGGCCAAGGCCACCCTGGTGCTATAAATATGATACAAGTGTGGTCTTGTTTGGCCTTGGACAAGACTTTGGAAAGTAATGGAATTGGAGGCAAGAGACAGAGTAGAGAGCTCTTCCAGGCTGGCAGGAACCCATCTATCAATGACCAAGAATTGATGGCACTTTCTGAAGGTCCTTGTTGCAAATAGGTCCACTTGGGGAGTCCCCTACAGCTGGAAAATGGTTCTGGCAATGTCCAGACATAGTGACTGCTTGTGGTGACCAGAGAAGGACCTGCTCATCTGATGTGCCCAAGTATTCAGCACCCATGGAAGGTAAGCAGCTCTGAGATTAAATGAATTGGACTCCTCCCTGTACACAAAACGTAGTTGTGCGTTGTCTGTCAGCAACAGCAGATTCTCTCCCACAAAATGTGGCCGGAAGACAGAACAAGTTAGACTGACAGCTCGCAATTCCCTGATGTTTAAGAGAGTCTTCAGATCTTGAGAAGGCCACAGACTTTGAGTCCATTTATTTCCCCCCCCCCCCCCAATCCAGGGATGACACATCTGTGGTTAATGTGAACATTAGTTGCGAGATAATGAAGGGTACCCCTATACAAACTCTCAGAGGGTCTGTCTACCAGTCCAGAGAGGACAAAACTAATGTTAGTATGTGAACCGTCCTGTCCTGACAGATGAGGACTAACGCTAGCCATCCTGAGGCATAGTCTGGTGTGTTGCACCACATAGGTGCATGCTGCTACATGCCCCAGGAATCTATGACAAATGTGCACTGTGGTGACAGGATGTGCTTTTAGTTTCATGATTAAGCCCTGCAGCTTTTGGAGCCTCGACTGCAATAGACATGCTCTGGCTTCCACAGAGTCCGGGACCACTCTGATAAATGCTATTCTTTGCACTGGTTTCAAATAGATTTGTCCAGATTGAGCAAGAGCCCCAGGGCATAGAAAGTGGACTGGTTAATGATCATGCTGGACAGCACTTGCAACTCAGATCAGCCTTTTACCAGCTAGTCGTCTAGGCAAGGGAATGCATGGACCCCTAATTTGCAAAGATACACAGCTACCGCTGCCATGCATTTTGTGAAAACATGAGGGGCAGCTGACAGGCTGAATGGAAGTTACAGTTGCCACCTTTCTAATGACTGGTCACTGGAGCCCCGAGGCATAGGTGCCAACTCCCTAGCTTAGCAACCACCGGCAGCCTCAGTGCCTCCCATCTGTCGGTGGCCCCTCCAATCAACTTCTCCCCCTCCCTCCCAGTGCCTCCCGCCCACTGTAATCAGCTGTTCCGCAGTGTGTAGGAGGCGCTGGGAGGAGGGGGAGGAGCGGGGATGGAGTGCACTCAGGAGGGGGCGGAACTGGGTGGGAAGAGATGGGGCAGGGGCTTGGGATAAGGTGTCAGGTGGGGGCGGGACTTGGGGTGTGAGCAGGGGGTTGAGCTCCCCAGGGGCCCGGTGAAGCTGGCACCTGTGCCCGAAGGCCCCACCCCCTGCTCCACCTGTTTCCCCAAGACTCCCCCACCTCCAGTTAAAAGAAACAATTATTAGGCTTGTCAAATGGCACTCAGACACACAAGCCAAAACCTGGCCTGGCGGCAACCCTAATGGAAGTACTGTGAATTGGTAATGAGTCCCTTTTACCATGAACCTGAGGAACTTTCAGTGGTTGTAGTGGATTGTCATGTGAAAGTAAGCGTCTTTCAAATAGAGGGCAGCATATCACTCCCCTTGTTCTTGGGAAGGAATAATAGAAACCAATGGAACCCTGCCAAATTTTATTTCCTTCTGGTGTTTGTTTAACTCTCTTGAATCTAAAATAGGCTTGAGACCACCTCTTGCTTTGGGCATGAGGAGTCTAGGGAATAAAAACCCTCCCCCTGCAGAACAGAGGAACTTCCTCTATGGCCTCCACCTGAAGGACAGCCTGCTGGGGCAGGAAAGTGGGGATAGCAACAAACTGAAGGGAGTATCCCACTTGCACAGTGCTTAAGACCCACTGATCTGATGTGATGAGAGTCCAAGCACGTAGGAAGTAGGATAGATGATTGGCAAACATTGGGGTAGGAACAGATGGCACTATGGGGGAGAGTCACTCACTGCCCCTACACCTGATCTGATGATGAGGAAGAGGATGCAGCAGGATGCTGAGTCCGAGCTGTATCCATCTCCTGTGATGGCAGAACTGCTAGAGTGGCTTCTGCTTGTTTGGTACTGGTCCAGTTCTGACTATCAGAGGATGTTTGTGGTGCTGATGCTCATGGTGAGATCTCAAGGAGACCAACTGAGGTGGGTGAGGGAATGCCCTGGCAGGAAGAGGGAAACCCTACAGGGTCCAAGCCATTGCCAGTCTTGGAACCCATCCTTGTGTGGACCATTGGCCCTTAACAGATGACCATTGCTGAGAGATCTATGGCCCACAAAGGATATATGTCCTATCTAGTTTGAGACACATATGACCCAGTCTCTGACACTGAGAAAAATGATGACTCCAACTGCTCTAATAACAAGGCAACAGACCCTATCAGTACCATAGAAAGACAGCCACAACCCAGAAATGGGGGAACCAACCAGACCATCGTCAGCTTCTCTTTCAACCGTACTATCTTCTGAGATAGGGAAAGTGTAGATGGCATTCTCCAGAAGAACAGAAGTAGGAACCTTAGGTATGAGTATTGGCTGGAAACCTTCCTGCACTGCAGGGGACATCAGTACCAAGAGGTTAAGTAGCTCCTTAGAGAATGCAAATATCTCTGGAGTTGTTGGTACCAGTAGTCACTCATGTTTTTGAGACATTTCCACAGGCACTTCAGATGTCAGCCTTGATGGACGTGGTAGAGGTTCCTTCTTCTTTAACAGGGAGCCTATGCCTCCTCACAGACCCCCACCCAGAATATTTGCCTCTAGGTGACTTTGGTACCGATTAACTTGCTGAGCAGGACACTGAGTCTTTTAAAGCCCTGTGCCGCCTTTTTGGCACTGATGACAGGGAACATGCTGCCAACTCAGGCAGTGCACTCTGGACAGAAGCCATGGTACCTGGAGCCAGCTCTGAACATGGCCATCTCTATCAGAAGATATTTAAGTCTGGCTGCTCTGTCCTTCTTGGAGTGAGGTTTAAACCCATTGCAAATGTGACACTTGTCACTTACATGGGATTTTCCCAAGAATTTCAGGCAGGTGTGGTGTGAGCTGCTTACCAGCATTGGTCTACTACATGACCAACAGGTCTTAAACCCTGGAGAGTGAGCTTTGCTACTGGTCCTAGTACTGAAATTCAAATTCAGTGAGAATAAGGACATAATTTAAACTGAAACGTATCGTTAACTGTCTATAGTATAACTAGCTAACCAACTATTAAATCTAAGAAAAACAGGCTCTTTACAAAGATATGAGGGAAGAACTTGCAGTAGTAAGACTGAAATCACTCCAACGGTCACTGATGGTAAGAAGGAATTGTGTGGGGGTCATGGTTGGCTCCACATTTTAGACGTAAACAAAATGGCACGTGGCAGCAGAGCGCTCTCAAGCCACCCCGACAGGTACCACTGAAGGGAAAAAAATCTCAAACTGTGGATTAGGTGCGCACTCACCTACCGTGGAATGGACATGTGCAATCACTTGAAGAATATAATTACCTTCTCCTGTGGCATATAGAGGGGCAAGACAGGTGACTTGTTATATAGTAAATGTGTTGCACTTAAATATGCATTTCATCTTCCAGTCATATCTTTGAGGTTCTGTCTTTGTTCAATTTGATTGTGTCTTTTGTTAATCACTGGAATATAGAACGTGTCTGTATGTTTAGATCAGTCTTAATTGCGTATATTCCTTGTAACTAAATTAATTAGTACAGTGGTGGCTCCTCTCCTCCATTCTACTCCCCACTCCTCCAACTAGCTGCTCTGCTGCAGGTTTGGACGTCCTTGCTGTGGCCTAGATCTAGCCTGGCCCACCCAGACCCTGTACCAACTTTGGTACCTCTTGCTGGTTTCTTGCTGGGCACAACGATGGCTGCTATACACTCAACATCTCCCTCCACACTTCCCCAGTCTCCTGTTTCCCATTTGTCACCTCAATTCCTTTGCCTCCTGCCCAACCCTTGCCTCCCTATTTCCCTTGTCTCTTATCTAGCACAGTGTCTTTCTGCCACACCACGCACTCCTGGCATACTCTGCTCAGTCTGCCTACTGCTCCCCATGTTCTGCCTGCACCCTCTTCAAAAACCTCAAAATTGGTTTGGTAATTTTAAGAGAAGTATTGTACACAGTGATGCTGATCAGTTTGTATAAACTTGCCTGTGGCTCAATAAAGTGCCATGAATGGCAAAGGAAGCAAAGTACGTTTCAAACAATTCTTCTTTCTGTAATGTATCTGAAAACAACATAACCGCTTGAGAACTGGACGTTAAAATAACCAGGGCAATCACCATGTTTCAAAACCAGCCACTTTATGCTGAATGGATAAAACAATTACAGGCAAGAGAGGCACCAGTTTTCCCACAGCAGAATTTCTACTTACAAAAATAGTTCCCCCCCCCCCACTCATTCTTCAGCACAAAAAAGCCTATATTCTTTCAACCAGAATATTTTACATTGTAACATTTTTAAAATAGCCCTCACCTTTTCAATATCAAAATGACAATTCAATATTACAATTCTATTTCGCAACAAAACATTTTATTCCTTTTATATATGGTCTTGTCCTGAAACTATACATACAGTAGGTGCAAATTGACTTGGGTTCTCAGGTTTTTTTTTGTTTTTGTTTTGTTTTTTTAATAAAGGTACTTGGCTGAAGAATATTTTCATAAAGCATTTAGTTTAAAGGCAGCCATTCACTGGCTGTTCATTTTTGCAATATCATACAGGGATTAGGAACAACTTTTTTCAAATGCATCCTTGCATGAGAAATAAATTACATGTAGGTAATGGAGAAGATCTAATACCGTGAAGGATATGTAAAATCTTAGAGCACATAAATAGATAGGCACACAAAGCCATTGTCCATAATGGACTTGTTATACACTATTTGTCACCTAACTGCCAAATAATTCCTGATACAATTTATTCATTTTGTTTTTCAGGAATATTATGACATCTTAGCTTAGTATGGGCTCAATCCTACACGGTATTGAACACTCTGGCCTGTACAGCTAAACACTTAAACACATTGAAGTCAGTGGGGAAATATTAAAGTTAAGCAAGTGCTTTGCTGGATCAGGCCAAAGTGCTTCGCACCCTGCGGGATCAAGCCCTACATAAGAATAACATAAGCTGTTTCATCAAATGTGCCTAACAAATCGAGAAAAAGTTCAGTCTCAGGGCTAGATTGCTGCACTTTTACTCATGCTGAGTAGTACTTTTCTCTGTGAATAGCCCCATTGGTGTCAATACCTTAAATAAAATAAATAAATTGCTTAAATACCACATCACAGGCACAAGCCAGCACCAATTGAAAAACTTCCATTGACTTCAATGTTGGATACTGATGCAAAATTCACAATGGTATCTAGAGATTAAATGCTGCATTTTTTTGAAGTTGCTTCCATTGTTCACTCCCGTTATGAAATGCTTTTGGCTGAACCAGAGCCTAACTTTTTAATATATTTACATTCCATATTGCTTCTAATCTTGCAATATTTAAGTCATTATTTAAAAAGGCATGAATTAATATCAGACATTTCTAATAATCTAAAAATTGTTCATGTAGGTCAGGATATCTTAATTTGCAAAATAAATGTATTTTTTCTCATTATCAATTTTCTATACATTCATTTACAAGTGAATTAACCATGCTAGAAAGATCATTTTAGACAGCTGAAATATTCTAAAAGGCAGATTAAAAATCCAACATCCAGACTCATGTTTTTGTAAACAGTTGTGATAATTCCAGAATTGGAATAGCTAACCTATAATATTTTTGCACAAAACGTCTCTATGTGGCATATAGATTTTCATAACTTTTGTATATACAGTATGTATGCACAATACAATGTGTCAGAGGCAACATAACTATTAGAAACCATACTGAAGTTCATGCTCAGGGCTAGATTGCTAACGTTACTGCACCACAAACAACATAAAACTAGCTTTAAGTTTTTCTCTTTTAACATATAATTTCCCCTTTTTTTAATATGTAGCTTAGTTTTTGGGTTATATGTGCTCTGAAATAGTCTTCAAATCTGGGGTTTAGAATAACAGTAGTCTGAAATTTTGCAATACAAAGACTTTTTTAAAAGTAGAAGCATTACTACTATATATCAGCATATAATGCATGCAAATCTTTGTATACCTTTCTTTTCACATGTACCATGTAACCTTCATGTACCCACTAACCCCCACAAGAAGAACCTCACACTACAGATGAATTTCACCCAAGTGTTGAGGACCTACACAAGATGTTCTGTCCTGCACCACTTTGGCGCCGTATGTAAGAGACTCTGCAGAAATAGCACAGTTGTGCAAAAACCCTAGTCTGAGTAGATGTAGCCAAGGGACTATGTTGCAGCCCTCTGGCTCATCCACAGATTGAAGATGTGAATTCTGTTCCCTGACCTAACTCCCACTGAGTTTCCTGCACCTTGGTTCTACTTATGAGTAGAAGTCCATTACTTTAGGCTTTCATCCTGTTCAATGGGACTACTCAGGGGAGAATGGTTTCACATCATGTGAAGTCACAGAGCTCCCAGGGTTGGGACCTAAGATGACAATTACAATTTCTACATTATAAGTTTAGAATTTTCATCGCTAAAAAGGGAACATCATTACACAGTGTTCACTAAAAATCCCATTAAACAGTTTATATTTTAATCAGCCATATTCAAAAGGGACAGAGAATCTGTGATGGCCACATCTCTCTCTTCTACAGTGGTCTTGCTATTGTGAGTTGAAAGGTGATCAGCAGCTTGCAGGATTGGGCCTTTATTTTGGCTAAATGGTAAGCAGTTTGATATTGCTGGATATTTAGCTCCACCTACTGGGCACCTACATATACTATTACTTTCTAACTATAGGCAGTGGGACTAAACTATTTTATTTATATTTAAGACCTGATCCTGCAAGTTTTCTACACAGGCAGATGTAGAGGTCTGATCAGAGCAACATGCAAAATCAGGGTGTACTTTAAAAACATTTTTGGCCCTAAAAGCATGTTTTGAGACCGTTTTCATTGTAAATAAACTAGGAAAAAGCTAGAAAGCATTCAATAATAAAAGCCATTAGATTTTGTAGATCCTTAAAATGAAGCATAAAAAAAATATTTTCAGTGTGTCTTTAGATTGCTTTGGGTTGGTTGCAGAACCATTTAAATTTTGCTTTCAAAAATGGGTTGGGAGCTTTTGTTTGACATATCAGAGAGAGAGCTTGAGCTGGACAGCCAGTAAGAACTGTTTGTAAAACCTCTAGTTTTTCCTCATTTCATTTTGGCCCACATGAACTAGGTTATTACAGTGATGGTATCTATCTTTTTTACAGAAAAGTTGGCTTGAAATCTATGTTCCAAGTTTGGATACCTCTAACTTTTCAAAGATTTGGACAGTTCAAAAATCTAACCTGATATGAAGTGAAAATCTGAAATAATTCTGTAAATTGCAGTTTATAAACTACTGCACAAAACAGAGCACAAAAAGCCCAAGCTATACTTATTTTCATGGGAACAGTTGTTGTTGTTTTTTTAAATCTTTTTCAATCAAAAATAGGGTGACCAGACAGCAAATGTGAAAAATCGGGACCAGGGGTGGGGGGTAGTAGGAACCTATATAAGAAAAAGTCCCAAAAATCAGGACTGTCCCTATAAAATCGGGACATCTGGTCACCCTAATCAAAAAGCATGGATAAAAAGACATCTAGAAATGGTGAGAATTTCTATCAAGCTGGGTCCCTGATTTTCATTAGATTCTCCAACACCAAATCTTACTTCAGTGAAAGCTCAAGGTTTCATCTAGCTCTTCTTGTGAATGCAGAGGTCACAACCACCAGAAAAAACTGGAAAGGCAAGATCTCCAAAAATAGCTATTCTGCTCAGGTTTTTTTAATTAAAAATCAACAACATTAAGGAGATCTGAGAGTCTTGTGAGGAAAACGATTAAATGCAACAGATGGATAGTTAAATAGATTTTAATTTTTGCCTGATACTTTTCAACTTCAGTCAGGGCTTGAAAGATGAACCCAAGAGTTTTAAGAGAACTAGCAGAGGAAATCTTGGAACTTCTCAAAATAATCTTAAGAAAAATATCACTAGAGTCAGAAGAGGTGATTTGATGATGATGATGGGAAACCCCTCCTCCCCCAAGCTTTAGTGATGGCCATTAAAAGGCAACTATTTGTCCATCAAAACAAGGGCACAGAGTGGAGAGGTTCAAAAGTGCAGAGTACATAGCACACATAGAACTAAACGGAGGTTCTAGCACAGGTATATACCTGAGTGTAGTAGCTATATTTTCCTACAGCCAATAATAATAAAAAAATCCCATTAAATTGAGTGACTCCAAACCAGGTACTCCTTGGGCTCTCCCTGAATCACTCCTAGAGTAGAGGTCCTTCCTTCGCAGCATTGTCAAGATCTTGAACCAACCATGGAAAAAACTCCAGGCACTTGGCTAAAAGGGTGGAAGTTTGATTTCCATTGGTCAGAGAGAAGTGAAAGAAGGCATCTCAGATACTATGGTGAGACAGATCTATACTTAGACTGGAAAATGTTCCAGAATATATATTCAGAAGTTCCACAATGTTTCAGTGAACATCATTCACTGACTGCGCCTTAAACTGAAGCTTGTCTAATGCTATGAAACAGAGCCCCACAATAGGAGACCTGGAAATAATGAAGAGTCTGAATAGCGCTTTAATTACCAGTGGAGGGGTGCTGAATACCACAACCAGGGTGCCTCATCTAAAGCACTCCTATTTAGAGATTCCCTGCCTACTGTGGTATTTCCAAGAACGCAAACTTAAAAATGAAAAGGGAACAGAGTAGGGGACTACCAAAGAATTACAAATAAAATTAACGCCTGTGCTTTGGGCTCCCTGTACATTCATTTACCTTAGGAAAGGCTTTTTCTTGGGCTGAAAGTTCAGCTTCTAGGCCTGTAGTCTAAAGGAAATGTCTTGTTGTCAATTGTCTGATGGGAAGCAGGAATGACGGGGTGAACGTGTCCAGGGATGTATCACAGGACCAAAAATAAATAAATAAAAATCAGCAACTAGGAAGATGTCCTGGTTTTCCCAAACTATTTAGCCTCTTTGGGAGCTCTTGGGAGCCAGAAGGCCTAAAGAAGGAGGAGGGAGAGGGGAATGGAACAATGGGAGATAGCAGGGAAAGGGAGAGCCCTGTCTCAGGAAGAAAGCCCATGGTACATCACCCAGTAACTGTAGACCAAGTGCTATGGTAACTCACAGCCCTCCCTCATGTGCTGCAGCAGCTTCTCTCTTCTTCCTAGTAGCAGGGATTCAATAAGAGGGAAGAGCTCAGGTTGCACAACTTAGGACACCTGCTGTTGAACAGGTGAATGAGGCAAACACAAGAGGAAGCACTAGGATGGGTAAGATATTATGGGTTTACTCCCCAAGTTGACCTTTAAAGACCCAACTGAGGAACTGCACATGGACTGGGATAAAATTGGAATGATAGCTTCTGCTGCAGCTATGTGGCCCATATTAACCAATATACCTGCTGTCGCCAGCCCCTGCTTGCAGAGAGGTGAAAAGCAACTGCCTTGGTGGCAGAAAGGGTAAGTGAGCTCTGTCACCATGGGAAACATCCCAGCCATGCAGGTTGAACACAGCCTCTATTTCACAACCACCAAGTTTTGAAAGCAGCAGACCTATTTGTAAGTCCAAAATGGGCAAAGGTAGAAAACCAATTGGGTAGAGTAGGACAGACTCCTCCTGAGAAGGGCAGGATTGAAAATGTTTGATCTACCCAAGTTACATGAGAAGTTAGAGCAGCTCAGACTTAGGGAGACTTTGACAGGAAATTCTGCCAATGAACATAACATCTGTTCCAAGCAGAATATTCATGTGTATTATTACAGGGGGGGAAACTGGAAGAGATGTTTAAGACTATATATATAAAAAAAGAGATTATTAGAAAGAGCATGTGAAAAATCTAGTGGCCTTCTGCAACCTGACTGCTAATTTGTAAGGTACATATGTTTCCCCATTTCCATTGTATCTGAGTGCCTCATTCTTTCATGTATTTATCCTCAAAATACCCATATGGAGGCAAGGAACTACCATCAAGAGTCTATGACTTGACCAAGATCATGCAAAAGTGTCTGGCAGAGTAGGAAATTGAACTCAGATATGAAGTCCAGTGCTAGTGCCCTAACCTCTGAACCATCCTTCCATCTAAAAAATAAAGTTAAAGGGAAGTCTGGATGGATCATGTTAAATTTTCAACAAGACATCCAGTATAGAACCACTGATTAAGTTTGATACCACTATATCAGATTACAAATATAGCACATGTCCGAAAATTAGCCGTTATAAAGAGTGCTCATTGACAGTTAAACCTCCAGGTATGACCCATACCATTTAATATGTTAATATATGGTATAGGAAGGTGTATGATTCTCAAGGTCCGAAGTTGTAGATTGTCCAAAATTCAAGGGATAGTAAACAAGAAGAGTGTGGATTGTCTTCAACAAGATCACGTTTATTACTAACAAGTGTAAAGTTATGCAGCTAGTGAGAAGAAATGATCAAAAGAATCAAAAGGCTGTACATCTGGAAAAGTCACCTGTTTGACAGAAATCGGTAGGAGATAGGTTGCAAATGGACAGATGGTGCATTGCTGGTGCAAAATGAAAAAAAGAAGGCGGCATTTGTGTGTGTTTGCAGGGAGAATTCAATGTAATACCAAAAGTAATAATAGCCCTGTTGCAACCAGACCTAGTAGACTGCATGAAGAGGGTGCTACCATTTTGGGAGAAAAAGAAAATACAAGGAACAGCCAACTATATGGCAGAAAGACTGAAGGATAAAACATAAGGAACAAATTAGGGAGCTATATTTTTATAGGTTACAAAAGTAGACCGAAGGTCAACAGAAGGGCAAGCGATAAATAACTTTTCCTGTTACTTTGAAGTTAAAGAATATAATTATTCACGGGGTCAGAATTTGCTAGCACAAAAAAGCAATGGGATGAAGACAAGGACTGAAGAGTTTTGACTAGATATAAAAATGTTCTACTGCTCCTCCATGCTACCCTGCCTATATACAAACTCCAAAAAGGAAGTGCTAGGACATCAAAATATCATGGTTTCGAAGCCATGTCTTTTGTGGGAAAAGAGAGGAGCTTCAGGCCTTAAAAAAGTGACCAGGGGAGTCTCCCCTAAGCTTCATGGAGCCTCAATCTGCTGGAAGTCCAAAGAGCTGTAGGGAAAGCATTCTATGGAGAATAGCTGCTTCCTGGATCCCCCCCAACTCCAAGAGCCTGCTGAGCCTGAAAGAGTAGGTGGGCAAAGTGTCCACTGCTTTGTGACAAGCGAGGGTGTGCTGCTTCAGCTCCACACCCTTCCTGCCCATTCATGGCACTTGATGCCCCTTTCATTGCTTTGCTTCTCTCCCAACCAGTGGAGATGAGCACTGGGGACCGTAACAGCCAGGCAGTTAGACCGACAGAGGTGGTAGGGCTCCATTATTTTAGATACTTAGATACCGATTAGAGGGGACAAGTTAGTGAAGTAGGCCCCAATGCTGTAGCCATTGTTCAAGCAATGGGAGTTCTGTAAGTACAGAGATTGCAGGACTCGATTTTTAAGTAAAACATCCTGCAATATACAGGGGATTAGACTGGATGATGTGAAACCTCTTTCTGGCTCCGCTACCCACTAGCATGATATACAACATTCTGTAATTTATTTTCAGTGTTAATATGGGTCAGTGACTTGCATTTTTACAAACAATACATGAATTATACTAAATATAATTTGTTTATGTGATTTTTTAAAAATGATTATCAACAATTTTGGAGCACTGGAGCTAATCCAAGATTGTAATAAAAATGGAAGATGAAACATAAGCCCCCAAAACCTAGTATTTTGAAATTCAGTTCTGCATGGATAAAGTAGCATTCTACCCATTACTTTATTATTCTGATTATTTTGGGACTCCTAGGTGCAACTGGAATACAAACAAATTATAGATAGAGAGCTTCAACTTTAACAGAACTTGCTTTGCTAAGACATTGCTTCTAGCACAATGCAGAATATAGTTTATCTATGCAGGCAAGTACTGTAGCTGGGATTTTTAAAGGACATGAGAAATTCATTGGTAGTTAGGCTTAAAAATAATTTTTCCCCTATGCATTTTTGGACTCGTCTTGACTATGAGTAAGGGCCGTATTCTGTTAACACTTAAGGCACCGCACACAGCCCATCTGAACCAATGTCACTAGAATGAACACACATTGGTAACTATTCTTATATGCATGTGATTTCTTGAATGGCAGAGTATCATTTTCATTTTTCTGGAGTTTCATAACAGTGGGCAGGACTCTTATAAAACAGACAATAAGCAAAACAGAGTGGAATTAGCCAAACACAGCAGCTTCCATGTATTTTTTTCTAAAAAGTGAACCGGCTTAAGGAGGTATGCGAGTTAAAGCAGACTGGTCCAATTAATTCTGTAGTTTGAGTTGTACTTTCTGATCAAGAGCCAAATTATTTCCTCAGATGTGTATAAGTGGCTTCCATTGAATTCAACTAGAGATGCTGGTCTGTATTAGAGGCAGAACGTTGCTACACACAATAAATATAAATAATGCCAATTGTAAGATACTGATACATCACAGAGTTTCTATGCAGAAGGCAATGTAAAAGACTGACTAACACGGACATCAACAACTTCTTTCTCCACATCTTTATTTTACAATAAAAGAATTCTTGCCCTGGGTTAAGAGGTGGCCCTTTAATGCATTTTGCATGCCTCGTAACGTTTTGTAACGACTAGGCTTGCTGGCTAAGTACATGAAACTATTCAAATGTTGACACTATGAAAAATGTAATAAAATCAGAGTTTTTAAAGAGATTAAACAATGTTGTAAAAGACTATCAAACTGGATTCTCCCCCCTCCCTCCCCGGTAATTAATAAAATTAAATTTGGCTGGCAAGGATGTGAGCATACCAAGTAAGCTGGGACAAAGTCCTTATCCTGACATAAGTATATTTTTGGATGCTTGAAGTTTAAGCATTTTTACACCAAAATCTTTAATTATTGCTTCATGCATAAACAACACCATGACATTTATAAGTAGACAATCCAAATATTTTAAATTTAAATGTCCCATACTATACAATCTTATAAAATACCAGTTTGTCTTAACATAACAGCTGTTATTTTCATACAGAAACAGAGTGACCCATACACCACACTGGTGCTAAGAGAACAGACATTGGCCAGGATACACAACCTGGGGCCAGACAGCAAGATGGGCAGTTACCGTCCAGCAATCTGTGTTCACAAATACAGTTGGGAGTAGCAGACACTGCAGCCAGCCCAAATCATTCACAGTTCTGATTCTGAATGACTACCTTCAACTTCCATCATGCAGAATGGATCAATGTGTACCAATATTCAAAATCATGTCACTGTTTGTTTTACATTCTCTTTTCTATTGAAGATAAGTGATGCATCTTGGCAGTCCCATAGAGGCAACAGTAACAGCACCTAGTGTCCAGGGTCTATGCTGGTAGCAGAAGAGGAGGTGGAGGAGAACGCTACAGAAATTAGGCCAAAGATTTTGTGCTGAATGAAGGGCAAATATAAAACATCTGCATCAAATCTAGCAGCAGTGTCTTGGGCTACATGAGAAGCCTTAGAAAGCTATACTAGAGACATTTGTGTACTTCGATGTTTCTCTAGTTTGGTCATTGTATCCTGCACTTAAAATATAAAAAGAACAAAGAATGTCATGCATTGCAGTCTGATGTTTACACTTCAGTAACACAAAAGTAGCTCGTGTGCCCCTGTATTTATACACTATATGAAATCAGCAGTAAAACAGAGCCTGACCTAAAGCTATGCTGGGTGACATTCTACACCTGCAAACTTTGTATCAAATAGCATAACATACACGGGGAGAGCGTATCTCTCTCTCTCTCTCTCTCTCTGTCACAGATAGGAACCAAAAGTCAGCATCGGTCTGTGTGCATGCATACGTACTGTAAGTCTAATCCATGAGAATAAGGCCCTACAACTTCAGACTATTACTGAGGTTTAACAGGTTTCTGTTCTCTTTGGTCACAGTAACATTGTGTGTCTTGGTCAGCACAATGGTAGGCTTTTAGTAGTGTGGAGTCTATACTGTATCATCAGTTGGAATGATTGTACAAATTCAGCAGTACATACAGTATTGTATTCTTTATAATATTTGTTCTATTTCTACTCCAAAGTGTATTATGTTGGGCCTCCAAGCCAACATTAACTACAAATGGCACATAATAATGCATATCATTTTAATGCAACAACAGCTACAATGCTCATCCCGAGCCTAGTCCTACTACTAATGAAGCTAATGGCAAAGTTCTCACTGACTTCAAAAAGAGGATCAAGGTTTTTAGAAATAAAGACATGACTGAACCCCCAAAATAACTCTCCTTCTAAAAGAGAAACGTGTGTCCTCCCCCAACAATATATTTTTGTCAATATATTAGTGTATTTTTAAAAAGTATTAAAATTTTCCAAAGTTAGAATCTCCATTTTAAAAGCAGATTCTTGGAAACACTTGAACTGGTATAGCATGTATTTGTTTGTTATGTAAACATGACAGAAAGCTTGTACATCATTCACCACTGTCCTTAAAACAGTACCCAAACCAAACAGAATGAAAGCTTGTCTGTTCCCACAGCAAGCCATCACCTGAACTGGCAAAGCATGCATTATTACTTGGTACTAAGCATTTTTAAATGCCAGCTTGTTTTGGAAACAAAGCCAAAAGAGAATACATACTTATTGGACAGACACAGCTATTAGAAAAAAATACAAGTGTTCAGCTAGTATAACAATCCCATCACAAATTAATGGGGAAAAGGCACTCCATCCCTCTCAAATATACCACACATCTGTCATCTATTTCACATCATGTGTGTTGAATCACTGTTAAATTGTGTAACTGCACCAGCTAAAATGTACAAGTTAATGTAAAGAGTAATACAGCTCAGGTTATCTTCCTTTGCCATACTTCTCACTGAAAACTGTACATTGCTGTGAAGATACAGTACTAGCTTTATTTAAGTTTAAGAATTTTGTTTTTCAAAAGGAGAAAATCAAAATAATTGAACCAGTATTACTTAAAAACATATAACTTAAAGTTTAAATAATTTAAAATCCACTTGAACAATTTTCCTATTGCACAATGTTTTCCATAACTTTGCTAGACAAAACCCCACATAAGCATTTAATAACAGATTAAAATTTTAAAAGCACAAATTATATTGCACCAAAATAAGGTGCTACATAAATTGTATGTCCACTGGAAACTGAGTACCAATAAAACATACATACAGTAAGAGACCCAGGATGCTGAGAGATAAGCATTGAAGACAACTTCCCAGATTTCAAAAAGCGTGAAGTGAGAAACTATATAGAAAATAATGCAAAGTTATTTTTGAACATCAGTAATACACATGCACAAAACAACCTAACATAAGAAAAATGTTTACAATTCCCATATCTTTAAACCCTCTCAGTATCACATGTACTTCACATATGTTTAGCCTATGAATTAGAGGCATATCATGTGAGATAGAACAAAGAAAGCTTTCCCCATCTGTTTTATAATGGAACAGCCTAGGATTCCTTAAAAAGGTATCTTCAGCATATCAATTCTTTCTCAAAATGCCTTTTTCTGATCACCCTAACTCTGATCTGGAAGTTGATTTTAGGTTCCATACATATTAACCAATGTGCAGCATTAAAAACAATGAGGAAACTTCCAGTGTTTTTCTGAGTAACATTACATTGGAATTTCTCCTACTACTGCTGCAGCCACTGCCACCAAAATTGTGACCTGACACTTCCATAGTAAGCATTTTTCTTGTATATGTCTACTTGAAACCCTTGAAAGTTAGAATTACTTCAACTTAAATGAGTAGGAGTATACTCCGGCCTTCTTGTCTGAATAATTTTTGGTTTGGGTTTCTTCGTGCCTTCCTCTTCCTCCTCCACTTCATTTTCCTGGTCACTCTCACATACGTGGACAACAACACTGGGAGTAGTGTCAGTTGCAGCATGGAGTTCATATTTTTCTCCTGAAAGTTAGAACATTAGCAAAACTGGTCAAAAAGGCTCCATTCTACACAGTAAGCGCAGAACATATAGTCTAAATTTAAAGAAAAACAAATAAGAGCTTGCAAATGGTATACTACTGACAAGGCAGTCTGAAGCTAAAGTCCAGCAGGTCAACGTTGGCAGCAAAACTTTCACAGATTGTAGCAAAACCAACACCAAACGTTTTAGTCTCCATTTTCAAAGACTGATGCTCATCTACTTTGCACATACAACTGCACATACGACTACATGTGTTCATATGAATGCAGGGCCGGCTCCAGGCACCAGCCGACCAAGCACGTGCTTGGGGCGGCACCTTGGGGCAGGGCGGCGCTCGCTTATTTATTTATTTATTTGGATTCGGCGGCGCTCGGGGGGGGGGGGGCGCTTTGGGCGGTGCGGTGCTCGGAAGGGCAGGGGCTGGCACGGTGCTGCGCTTGGAGGGGGCGGGGGCTTCGGGTTGCGTGGTGCTGGGATTTTGGCGGCGCTCGCGGGCGGGGGGGTGTACAGCGGGGCGGCGCTCTTCTTTTTTGCCTGGGGCGGCAAAAAAGTTAGAGCTGGCCCAGTATGAATGTATGGGTATTCACAGTCAGTCATGTGTCGTAGCTAGCCACTTGTGTGCATAAATGATATCCATTTGTGCATGCAGTTGTGGTTTCTCAGCATGCAAATTTTATACACCCATCTTTGATAATCAAGCCTTTTTTAGTGTATCATCGAATCAGAACCAGAGGTTTAGAAGGGACTGCAAGGGTCATCTACTCTAACCCCCTGCCAATATGCAGGATTTGTTGTGTCTAAACCATCCAAGACAGATGGCTATCCAGCCTCCTTTAGAAAACCTCCAGTGAAGGAATTTTCATTAAGTAGTTTGTTCCACTGTCCTACTATTCTTACAGTCAGGAAGTATTTCCTGAGGTTTAATAAAAATCTTCTATGCTGCAGTTTGAACCCATTGCCTCTTGTCCTACCCTCTGTGGCAAAAGAGACATCTTTTCTCCTTTTTTATGGCAGCCTTTCAAGTATTTGAAGACTGCAGTCATGTTCTCACATCATCTACGCTTTTCCAAACTAAACATACCCAGTTCCTTCAGCCCTTGCTCATATGGCTTCCATTCCAGCCCTTTGATTATCTTTGTCACTTGCCTCTGGATCCTTTCCAGTTTCTCTATATCCTTTCTATACAGCAGTGACCTAAACTGGACATACAACTCCAGCTGAAGACTAACCAGCACCAAGTAGAGTGGTACTATCACCTCCTGCAACTTGCATGCTACGCCTCTGTTATTGCAACCCAAAATTGCATTTGCTTTTTTTGCAACAGTGCATTGTTCACTCATGTTAAGGTTGTGATCCAACACAACTACCAGATCTTCTCAGCAGTGCTGCTGCCAAGCCAGTTATCCCCTGTTCTATATTTGTGCATATGGTTTTTCTTCCCGAAGTATAGCCCCTTACATTTGTCTTCATTGAATTTCATTTTGTTGTTCATAACCCAATTCTCCAATTTATCAAGATCCCTTTGAATTTTAGCTCTAGCCTCCAAAGTGTTTGCAGCTCTACCAGGTTTGTCTCATCTGCAAAATTTGAACAGTATGATCAAATCTGACCATTCAGGAAAACTGTCCATCTCCATACAATGAAGATTTAAAACCACAGAAGCAGATTTTTTCCAAGGCTTCCACTGGCAGAAGTTAGATATGGTTTTGATCAGCAAAACCTAAAGAGCTGAATTCTGCCCTGGGATTCCTGTGTAATAACAGAATTGGCTAGAAGGGATTTTACAACATTTAAATATGTTGTGTTATAATTTTGTTATGTCCATTGATTAGTCATTTGACAGTGTCCATCAGAAACAACTCTACAATTTATTATTTTCAAATACCTTTTCGGTAGGAGAGGGAGGTAGGGGAAAGAAACCAGCACTCATATTTCTAAATGTGTTCCATCGGTCACTTTTTCTTCTGTTCCACTCAATTTGGTATGTTTTATCCTCATGCTTTTAAGACCTCAGTATCTTAGCTGTTGCATCACCATGCAAATTGTGGTGCTTGAGACATCAGCTATTTTAGGGAACCAAAGAGCAAGCCAGCCTGGATAGTCTGTAAGGTGTCCCTTGCACCGTTTTTCCCAAACAGTTCTACAAAGAACTGATGAGAGCTCCCACAGAACAAAGAAGGGATTCTGTCTCCAGCTCTGCAGATAAATGGGAGCCAGGCTCTTAGACCTTCCTCTATTCCCCTCTGCCACTGACTCACTGTATAATAAGTCACTTATCCCCTCTGAATTCAAAAAAACCTCTATCAAATGAATACAACACAACAACATCACAGTGGTGTGAGACTTAATATGCGCAACAACTGCAAACCCTCTGATGAAAGCAGCTAAAGATATGTAAATTATTAATTTACTGTCAGATGGTTGAACAACAGCAACCGTGTTTAAGAAAAAGTAGTAGTTATATACACCTCTACTCCGATATAACGCGACCCGATATAATATGAATTCGGATATAACGCGGTAAAGCAGCACTCCGGGGGAGGGGGAGGGGTAAGGGTAAGGGGGGGTAGGGCTGTGCGCTCTTGCAGATCAAAGCAAGTTCAATAGAACGCGGTTTCACCTACAACACGGTAAGATTTTTTGGCTCCTGAGGACAGCGTTATATCGGGGTAGAGGTGTAGTTAAAATATAAATATTTTACAGGTTTCATTTTATTTCTGGGGAAACGTATGTTAGAGTTACAATTTTATTTTAAATCTTGGCATAAAAAAATAAGTAGCTTTGCTAAAACTATTGGCTGGTCAAACCTAATTAAAACATTTAGAAAAACAAGTAGTATGCATTATGTAAGGTCATGACCTTCATGAGATTAGCAAGTTGTAATGCAATTCATGCTGTATGGTTCAGCAAGAATGTTTTGTTCTGGCAAGGATATTCTTATGGACAAAAAAGTGATTTCAGAAAACAATCTTTGACATAAAAAAAACTTCAGAGTGTTTTCTATAGTTAGTAATTTAATTGATAATGACCAGATATCTTGGGGGGGGGGGGGGAACTTTTTGAATTATTACTAGTATTCCAAGTCATTTTTTACTCAAGCACAAGTATTAAAACTTTAAGCTCAAAATCCTTCTTACCTGGCCCTAGCTTGGAGATAGCATAGAGAAGGTCATAGTTAATGACTGGCGTAGCATCTTCTACTTGTTTCCAACCAACAGGAGGAGAGGCTGGAGGTGAAATCAAAAACTGTTTGTCTGGTTTTGGTGGAGCCAAACGCGAGCTTCCAATGTGCAAAGTCTGGGAGAATAAAACAAACGATTAACTATTACTTTTAACTTTCCATTAATCAGTCATTTACATAGAATTTAAAGTTTGAACAGATATCGTACTACAACAAGCACTGAAGGTGGGAATATGTAACCATGTGTGATAACATATCAGACATACAAATTAAAAACCACCATGCTGACAATGCTGACAAAACATGCAGGGAAATGTGCACATCTGCTTTTTTTCCCCGTTTTTGTTTTAATATATAGTTATTTCATCAGAGAAAAATCTGCTCCTAAAAGACCAAAATAGAGGGAAATTAAACAGGGGCTGTAAGGTCTAATGATAAATGGTGTTGAAACTTATTACCACAAGAGGTGAAAATTCCAGAAGGTATATAAATCAACTGGCTCCTTCAGGATTGTCCCTAAGGACATTTGAAACAAACACTAAGGATACAAAGATGAAAGGGACACGCAGATTGATTTTCCCATTAAAGTTTTAAAAGGGGTGCCTAATGATAGCAGCCGAAAGTGCACACATTTTCAGAACTGAGGTACAGTTAGAGATCTCCTTGGTCTTTCCTACTCTCAGGAATCCAGCAATCAGTGACCCACTGACCACCCATATAGGTGCACTGGTGGAAACCCGTAAGCGTAAATAAGAGTATGCAGGGGGTTGCACCAACCAGTGCAACCATACAGGTTTTAGAAAGTATTGACCAGAAATCAGTGTAGCTGTATATACTGGTACAGACCCCTGCACACCCTTGACTATATTTAGGAATCACTGCCAATGCAGCTCCCCAGACCATGTCTGCTGAATCAGGGCTATTTTTGAGAATAGACAAGATTTAACTTCCAAGTCAGTGTTATTTGCATCTCTGTATAACAATCAGAGCAGTGTTTTCTTTACAACTCCACAGACATCAGGTTTGCTGAGAACCCACTCCATGCTACAAGAACGGTGATCAAGAATGTAAGCTTTGACTGAAGAAAAATTACATTTCTAACTGTTATGATTGCAAAGAGCACCAAACATTAAACAAGTGTAAACTATGCAGGTATGTGTAAGAGTTTGTGCATAGCCAAAACAATTGGTCATCTCAAAGGGGAGTTAACTTATCAAATGATTACCTTATCTAATATTACAAGTTAATTCCCTAATATCATTTACTATTAAGTTGCTTTATGTAGTGTAGTTGGGTCCCAGGATATTAAAGATAAGGTGGGTGAGGTAATATCTTTTATTGGACCAACTTATGTTGGTGAAAGAGACAAGCTTTCAAGCCATACATAGCTCTTCTTCAGGTCTGGGAAAGGTACTCCAAGTATCACAGCTAAATGCAAGGTGGAACAGATTGTTTAGCATAAATTGTTAGCACATATTCTATTCTAAGGGATCATTCAAGGTAGAGTGGCCTGTTAACACCTTTGCAGTCATAGGACAAAAAAGAGGACTTAGTGGGTTACATTTCATTGTAATAAGCCATGGCTCAAAAAGCTTTGGTCCAATAAAAGATATTACTTCATCCACCTTGTCTCTCTATTTAGTTGCTTATCATTTTGGCAGAAACCTCCAGCTAACGCATTTATCCAACATAATTCCCACACCTTCCCCCAAGTGCCAAAGCTCTAACTGTCACTACTCAAGCTGCCAACTATGTTGTCAGTACAAATCCCTGTAGCATCTTTAAAAATATTAAACACCTCAAACTAAACTAATTAACACAAGGGACACAATACTAGTACAGTAAAAACTTTTTAAATCTGGCATGTTGGGGTAATGGGGGGGGGAGGAGGATGAGTGCCGGTAAGTGGAAAATGCTGGTTAAGAAAAAGGGAGTTTGGGTGCGGGTTCCCATTGGTTCCCAGCCAATGGGAGCTGTGGAGCCAGTGGACAGGGTGGGGGCATCGTGCAGAGCCATCTGCTGGGCCTCCGCCTAGGAGTAGCCAGGACAGGTCGCTGCTTGGAAGAGCCTCCCAAGGTAAGCACTTCCCCGGATCCTGTTTTTATGGCAAAATGATTACATTTATACAGAAATGCTTGGTAAAACATACCTGAGCAAAATACAGTTTTATTTCCTTTCCAAGAAATTCTGTCTTATGTAGCTGGATTCTAGCATCTGCTGCTGATAAAGGGTTGCTGAAGTTTATTCGTACTCTTTTGAAGCTCTTAAAATACTGAAAGGTGATATCTTTGTCATATGTTCTAAAGAGAGATTCAAATTTGGCCTGTAAAAATAAATAAATAAATAAATCAAAATTTTTTTTTACAAAACAAGCCATGTACATGCCACATCCCTTTTTTCTTGTAATTTATTCTCACTCCCTCAAGGACAACTGGTGATTATGATGGTTAATAGCGGCATGCTAAAATATTTTAGTAGAGAATACAGTAAGCCATTCAAAATAAACCAATCATCATTTATTTACAACATAGCAGCTGCTTTTTTCTTGCTGAAATAATACTGCCTTCAAGGTAGAAGAAAAGATTACAAAAAAGTGAAATATGTTGCATGTCTACTGACTTCTGTCTCAATTTTGTGGCATGCAAAAAAAGGTCTATTCACAAGTGATGAAAATCATGGAGTTTTAATTGCTTAGTTTAGTTTATATAGAAATATCTATAAAAAGCAGGCAAAGTAAAGTGAGGGTCAGAAGTCCTTACTCAAGTAAAACGCCTGTTCAGTAGACATGAAAACTGAATATTGTGCTGTACTAAAATGTGCTTATTTTTAAGGTAACCAGACACCTCAGTAATGTTATGACATATGAAAACTATTTTTTATACTTGCTTTTAATTTAGGGAAATGAAGTGTGGTTAAGGAAACTTCAGTTATAATGAGACACAGTAATTCTGTAACACCCTCCATCTATGGATCTCAAAGACCTTTACAAATGAAGACTCAACTCCTTTAGTAAAGAAAGTATTGTTCTAATTACGCAGACATGGAAACAGAGGTGAGGGCCTTGCCCAAGGTTAAAACAGTACATTTGTTGCAGAGTGGGAACAGAACCCAGCCCTTCTGACTCTGAAACCTTGTACTTTTATCGCTGTTGGCCCAATGACTTAGCCATCCTATCCGGATGACAGTACAAGAGTAAGTCCATCAAAAGTGAGCAATCTTCACTGACTATTTGCGTAAGGCCTTGGCTACACTGGCGCTTTACAGCGCTGCAACTTGCTGCACTCAGAAAAAACACCCCCCTGAGCGCAGTGAGTACAGCGCTGTAAAGCGCCAGTGTAATCAGTGCCTGCAGCGCTGCACGCTCGCTCGCAACGCTGCAAGCTATTCCCCTTGGAGAGGTGGAGTACATACAGCGCTGTGAAGTCCTGAGTGTAGCCAAGCCCTCACTAATGTTTGAGCTTTTAGAGCACATGGGGCAGCTATCCAAACCAAACTCAGCTATTTTTACATTATTTATGAAGAATGTTTCCATTTTTACTTCAGGGTGCTGAGGGGAGGGGAAGGGAAAAATGAGTCTATGGCTGGCATGCTTGCTGTTTCAGATTTATTTTAAGCACAATGACTCGCTATGTACAGCCCTTAGTAGTAAGTTATGTTTTATGTATTGACATTTTGTATGTTACTAATTCACAGAATCTTACTGATCAGAATGTTCTGACTTCATGTTCATCTTTCAACTGCATTCAGTCTAATCACTGAGTTTTGGATAAGACTACATAGAAGGGTATAAAAAAATAGCGTAATAAATTGTTTTCTTGAACACTTAATTTCATTATTCTCTTATATAAACCTTTGGTTATAGTTTTTATTTAAGCTAAGTGTGGTTCTAACTCACAACTTGCTACTGCTATCCCACGACTCTAAGTAACAAATATTTATTAGACAAAAGCCAAATATTTCATGAACGCATGTTAACTCAAAACTGTCCTGTCTCTTGTTGGGCTACACTTAGTGTTCTAATAAAAGCAAGTTGTATGTAAACTCCAAGTAGTTTTAATTCAATTCTCAAGAATAGAACCCTTAGCACAGGAATTACTTGTTATTGTTAGCCTTCTACACTGGAAAGAAAGCTGCTTTGTATTTCTGAAATCTAAGCCTTTATTTATCTTTTTTCTATATTACACTACATGGTGCACTAATATCTCATTCATATCTATTCAGAAAAACAGTTTGGTCTATAATTCAGAATTCATATGCACCACTAAACCTTTGGAGACCTTCTGCATGATTAATGAAATGTATGGTATCTTCAATTTTATGTTAGCCAAAAAGAAAAGTCTGTAGTATTATAAAAGGATCACTTCACAGATCCAACTTCCAGATGAAATCAGATGTTAGCATCAGTGTCTACTAATAAAATCCAATTGTTTTGTGCCTAACAGGTGTCTTAAGACAGCTAATCAATAATTCACTGCTGTAAGTCCAACATTTATGTGTTTGTTACTCCTTCATTCTCATCAGTTATATAACTGGAGTGATTGTATTATGTAGCATTCCAACACTGCAGCAGTATCACCAATCTTAACGATTACAGTGCTACACCAACTATGTAATTTAAACATCTTCATATATTCTAATATAAATGATCCTATTAGCAACATTTTAACTCTGAACATTACTGAAAATGCCTTCAAATGACATTTTTTCAACTCATACTCACATACACATGCATATATACACAGTATTTTTATGGACAGACTACAAGTATTTGAAAAAGCAGAAGATAAAGATCTTAATGTATCACATGGAATTTAAGACTGAAACATAATACATGAAATACACATTTGCAGACTACAACCTGTTAACTCTGAAATAGTTCTTCCCTACTTCTTAAGCATTATCTGTTTAATGTTTTAAACAGCACAATATTTTTCAACTATTTTAGAACAGCACCTATCCTTCAGTATTTAAAAAGTTCACAGAACTAAAACTCAACTTTAAAAAAGCCTTACCCTCATTTCAATTTGATTGAAGACATCGCTGTCTGCCACATAGGCAATTAGGGAACCAAAACTGTAGTTAAGGTTCCTAAAATGCATTTTGTGCTTCACTAAAGCAATGTTAGCAGTTCAACACAAATCCAAGGCAATTACTTTTAAGGAAGCTGTTGGTTCTGCAGACTGTGTTTATAAAGGAAAAAAGTCCAACCCCCTCAAAAAAGCTTTCAGTGCATCCCGTAAGTGACAGCAAATTCCTGAACAAAGTCCTGCATGCTTTAAGGCAGGCAGGGACAAAATGTAAGCGTCTACTGGAAAGAGGTGACATCAGCACATTAGTCAGCTTTCCTATGCTAATTAACTTTGCTTTGGAAGATGGAAAAAACAGCTGAGGTTTGCACAGCAGCTGCTTTATCAACTCCTCTTGCAGCATAGTTTCCATTGGTAGTAATTCCATTCAGCACTCAGACAACATGCTCTTCACTTGAATGGGCCAACCCATTTTAAGATGGAAAATGTTACTGCTAAAGGACCAATGTCTACAGTAATAAGCAGTAATTAGCCAGCAGGGAAATTTCAAGACTTTGGAAACCAGAAAACAAATCCCTCAGTAAATTTAGTCCTTGTACTTTCCGAAAACGTACAAGAAGTTTTAAGTTGGGGATTAGAGGAAATCTATTTTGAAAAATATTTTTTCCAATGAAATATTTTATAGTGGAAATTCATTTTGAAATACTTTTTCCAATTAAACTTTATGGAGAAATTTCCTGCTTCCACTTTATTTGATTCTCTTATGGTCTCAAGGCCCTGTAATATGAAATCATACAAGAGCTCAATTAGTAGTTTACTACTAGGATTTTAATACAAAACCCTAATTCTCATTGCTATAAAACTGTAAAGCCTACACTTATATCCCCTGTTCAATGAATTCAGAGTGTTGTTTAAAGAAAGTTTCCAGGGAATAGAGCAAGATGGAGAGATTTAAATCAAGGCTATTTAAGTCACTAATTTAAAATATTTATATCAGATCAGATGGAGCCTTTGTAAAGCTAATTTGAAAATCTGTGCTATTGCAACTATAAATTTTAATCTAATGAACAAAATTACAAATGCTTTTTTTAGTTAGTTTATTTTAGTATAAATTCTACTACAGTTAAGGTATCTTATTTGAATTTTACAAAGCAGCTACAGGCAAAAAACAAAACAAGGACAATTAAGAGTTTGTAGGACAAGGACTAAAACCAGCATGTAACTTTACTCAAATGAAGAGTCCCTTTGACTTCAGTGGGACTATTTATCTGCTTAGTTAAGTATGTGCATAAGTATTCGCAGCACCAGAGGCTAAAAGTTCTTAATATTTGTGTACAAAATCTTTGTCACTTCAAAACAAAATTAAAAAGTTTACACTTTCAATACATTAAATTACTGTAAACTATTTTGTACACAGGCCGAAGTTTTCAAAACTACGAGCCTAAAATTAGGCTCTCAAGCCCATACATAGGCACTTAAAGGTGGAATTTTCAAAACCACAAGTTACACTGAGTTCATCTGAGAACAGCCGAGCTCCATCCTCTTTGAAACCCCCCTTCAGGTAGTTGAGGGCTGCTATCAAATCCCCCCCTCGCTCTTCTCTTCTGCAGATTAATAAGCCCAGTTCCCTCAGCCTCTCCTCGTAAATCATGTGCCCCAGCCCACTAATAATTTTCGTTACCGTCCGCTGGACTCTCTCCAATTCGTCCACATCCTTTCTATAGTGGGGGGGGGGGGGGCAAAACGCGACGCAATACTCCAGAAGTGGCTTCACTGGTGCCGAATAGAGGGAAATAATCACTTCCCTCAATCTGCTGGCAATGCTCCTACTAATGCAGCCCATTACCCCGTTAGCCTTCTTGGCAACAAGGGCACACTGACTCATATCCAGCTTCTCGTCCTCTAATTCCCAGGTCCCTTTCTGCAGAACTGCCGCTTAGCCAGTCGGTGCCCCAGCCTGTAACAGTGCATGGGATTCTTTCGTCCTAAGTGCAGGATTCTGCACTTGTCAAACCTCAGATTTCTTTTAGCCCAATCCTCCAATTTCTCTAGGTCACCTCTGCACGCGGAGCCAGATAGGGAGCCTGCCACCAACCAGACTATAAACCGGACTTTCAATGAAGATCAGAAATGCTGATTATATAAAAATATTAATGTCAGCATTTTCTTTGCCAGTAATGCCTGCCATTTGCATCATATGGAGTGAACAAAAGTATTTTAAGAACTCTAAAAGCAAGAATACCTCTTTGAATATACATATATATCCCAAACCCCACTTACTTCAAAAGTGGAAGAC